GCTGTGCAAACGCAAAGTTTGAGAAGCGTTGGTATCGTCTATTCATTAATGATGTACTCGCACCTCGCTATTATTGGCGTAACGAAAGGACATGTTCTTGCTACCTGTGTTTGTTATTTTTATTTCTATTATGCTCATTATGCTGTTGTACTTAACGTAACGTTTTGCATATTGTATCTCACTTGCTTAGTTTCCATAATACCCTTTTTTAATTTTTCTTTCGCATATCCTAGATTTTTGCATTCCGCATTTTATTTCATTTCGCATGTTATATTTGTGCTATGTTATTTGTTTTATAGATTACGAATAATTGTTTATTATTATGTATACGCATATATGAATTATTTTTGTGTGCTTTGTATATTATTCACTAAGTTAATAATACTTATATTAACCTGCAGTAACTCTTGCACCGTGGTAACTGTAACAGGTAATCATTTGCTCTGCCGTTTAGGGTACACAATATACATTTACTATAAATTTCATATATGTCATATCTTAGCATCAGTTTCAGAGTGTAAGAGATTAACTATTATTACTCCACTAAAACTTTTACTTCATTGCTCGCGGGTCGTTGCTTATACTTATGTGTATTATTTGTATGCTCATATCGCGAAATATTTATGCATTCTCCTAATGAATAGTAGATTATTTTCTAATATACCTCAACGTAAGTTATTTGTAGTTGCTACTATTACCTACCGCGTTATTTTAGTGCTTATCCTGTTAAGAAAACACTCACATAAAAAAATATAATATATACTACCAAAACGTCCGGGGCTTACGGACTAAAGTAGCAACTATATATAGGAATATCGTAATGAATAATTACGACTTAATATGCTTAACGGAAACTTGGCTTAATGAGGACTTCAATGACACAGAATTATTTGACGACCGATATCTAGTTTGGAGGCGTGATAGGAATTATTCTGATACAGGTCAAAGCATGGGGGGTGGTGTCCTCATAGCTGTTCGACGAGAGCTTATAGTTTTTGAACGCAGTGAATGGCGTTCATCAGCTGAGGACATATGGATTACTCTGACCCTAAAACGTACATCGCCTAATTTGTGTTACAAATTAAATATTTGTCTTGTTTATATATGCTGTCAAAACTTAGGTAATTCCTTAATACAGCAATTACAATGTTTTTCCACTAAATTAAATGATATTGTGTTAAATAACTTGGCAGATGGTTTTTTACTTTTAGGCGATTTTAATTTGCCGAATATAATATGGCAGCCAGCTGACGATGGGCAATCTCAATGCCCTTTTAATATTCAAGGTCCCATTCAATCGGATTTTTTTGATACTCTTAATTTATGTTCCTTATCTCAATATAACAGTCAACTAAACTGTAACAACAGAATTCTGGATCTAATTTTCTGCAACAATTTTATAAATGTTCATAAATGTATAGACCCTTTAGTTTCGGAAGATCCTCATCACATAGCACTATGTATATCTGTTGACTTCATCCACCAAAATACGCTTTCACCGCAAACCAGAACAAAATTCCTGTATAATTTTGCAGATTACACTAAAATATGTCAACAACTTGATAATACGGACTGGTCCAGTTGCCTCAGAATGGGTTCTTTAGAGGAGGCTGTATCCTTACTGTATGATAAGTTACAAATGCTAATTAACAAACATGTCCCTTGCAAAACTGTAAAATCATCTTCCAGATTTCCTCCCTGGTATAAAACACCCTTGATTAAAATCTTAAAAGAAAAATTTAAGTATCACTCAAAGTATAAAAAATATGGAAATACTTCCGACCTTGATTCTTTTGTTTTATTACGAGAACGTGGGAAGGTTCTTGAAAAAAGTATGTACGAAGCTTACATTCGTGATATAGAAAATAATATAAGCAAATCACCGAAAGCCTTCTGGAACTTTGTTAAGAGTAAAAAATCTCCAAGTTCATATCCTTCTATTATGAAATTCAGACAGTATTCGTCAGGCAAAGGTGAAGTAATTTGTGATTTTTTCAATCAGTTTTTTAAATCTAATTTTCTTAACGATTCCGACACAATTAATTTTAATATTATTGACTCGCAAATTGATCAATCTTCTATTGATATCAGTTCCATCGAGGTGCAAGAAGCAGAGGTATCCAGACTTTTAAAGGCTATAGACCTGTACAAGTCTGCTGGACCAGATGGTATCCCGGCTATCTTAATCATACGGTGTGCGGACTCTCTTACTTTGCCTCTGAGTATTCTGTACCGCCGTTCCTTAAAGGAAGGCATTTTTCCAAATATTTGGAAAAGTGCGTTTATTACTCCAATTTACAAAAAAGGACCTAAGGATGAGGTACAAAACTATCGTCCCATTTCCAAGCTCTGTTTATTCGCTAAAGTATTTGAAAAAATAATTTACAACCAGGTGTACTCTTCCCTTCGCCACTCATTTAGTGAAAATCAACATGGTTTCTTAAAAAACAGATCTACCGTGTCAAACCTTGTTATTTGTTCCGACTATCTAACTAGCTTTATGTCTAAACCAGCACAAGTAGATGTAGTCTATACAGACTACTGCAAAGCATTCGACAGAATCGATCATTTAATTCTTTTACGTAAACTCCTTGCAATGGGTATCAGGGGGGACTTATTCCGATGGTTTACGTCATACATCAGAAATCGAAGTCAATCTGTCGTCCTTGGTGGATATCGTTCGTCTGCAATCCATATATCGTCTGGCGTACCACAAGGATCCCTATTGGGGCCCTTGCTCTTCTTAATTTTTATCAATGATATCGACACGTGTTTTAAAAATTCCAAGATTATTCTTTACGCTGACGATATGAAAATCTTATGTCCTATTACAAGTTTGGAAAGTTGTTCTAGCCTTCAAAAGGATCTCTTCAATTTAGAAGCATACTGTTCTAACAATAAACTCGATCTGAATGTTTCCAAATGTTTTATCTGCTCATTTACTCGTAAACCTAATCCTATAATTTATAATTATAAATTAAACCATATTTCTATAAATAGAACCAGCACTATCAAAGATCTCGGTGTTACTTTTGACTCTAAATTGCTGTTTGACAATCACGTTGATAACATCGTTACAAAGGCTAACAAAGCGCTGGGTTTCATATTAAGGTTATCGGCAGATTTTAAAAGCATAAAAACCTTCAAAATTCTATATTGCGCTTTTGTACGCAGCCATTTGGAATATGGTTCTGAAATTTGGAATCCAAAATATAATGAATATGTGGATAGGATAGAGCGCATACAAAAAAGATTTTTGCGTTTTCTTCAATTTAAATCAAAAAAGTTTATACCCAGCTATACTCTTCGATGTAAAAAAAATCACATATTACCTTTATATGAGCGTAGAAATATTGCAGATCTCTCCTTCCTCTTTAAAATTATGAATGGTAATATTGATTGTCCTGAACTATTAAGTAAAATAGGTTTACACACCTCATCATCTGGTTTGCGGAAACCTACACTTTTATATGTACCATGCGTGAAAAGTAATTACAGGAAAAACTCTTTTATTATTCGATCATGCAGATCTTTTAATGCTATAGCACATACTCACAATGTGGATATTGATTTATTTCATTCCAGCGTTATCCAACTTAGGCGTTTACTTTCTAACAACTTCTTTTCTTTTTGATAATGTAATTTATATTTAAGTATACTGTTACTATATCTCTTCTGACACACTCTTGTCATATAAAGTATTATATAAGTGAAAACTTGTAAATGGCCTTCATTTTTGTTATAATTATATTATTTTTGTAAATTAGCTGTAAGTTTTCCAAGCAAATAAAAATAAAATAAAATAAAATAAAATATCAGTTACTTTAAATTTTACTTTACACAATATTCTCGGATAAAACTTATTCAGTCTTATTCCAAAAAAATGTTTTAGTACTGGGTTAAGTTTAGGAGTAAGAAGTCCAGGTTTGTTACAATATTCTAGTTAATACCAGCACTAAAACGTGTGCTTATTACAAAACGCAGACTACCCGAGGACCAGTTAATACCAACGTTAGTATTATATTAAATATCATTCACAGATAAAAAACAAAAAATGACACTCTATCATTCGTTCATACAGGTTTCATTCAATGCAACGTTCGGTTTCATAAAATATTAATATTATTTTCACATTTAATTATGCTTAAATAATTATCCATCAATACAAAAACATATCATACATTGTTATTTGTTTACGTTAAAATCTATTGAACAAGCACGACATATACTTTTGACGCGCTTTTGATTATATCAAGTTGTTTTCAGTTTAACAACTCTAGCGTGAAATGTAGTGAATTACAGAGGTAACGCGAGCGCGGGATTCGAGACGTTCAAAATAGTTTATATTGCAGCCTTATAATAAGTAAATTAAATTATTAATAATTAATTAAGTACTTGCTATTACAATTATATTTATATAATAATGGAACAAAAGAAAAAACGGGGTGAAAATTGGAGTTCTGAAGAAAAAGTTAGTGAAATATCGAAATTTATTTGTCAGTACGTAGCAATACTCTTATCCTCCTATTATCCTTATTTCAACTAAAAGGAATGTTCTTATTATTATAGGAAATATTACGTACACTTATTTCACAATCAGCACATATAATAGAGAATAAGTCGACAAAAACATCGGTAAATATTCAAAAAATAAAAGAGTGGAAGAATACAACTAATAAGTAAGTACTTATCGCATTTGTTATATGTACAAATAGGTACGGTATTGTTTACGTGATTTCGTATATTTTTTTTTTAGATTTAATGAGATAACAGGTAAACGCCGATCAGATGGTGAATTGAAATTATCTTGGAAAAGAATGAAGTTGTGTGCTAAATCAAACTTATACACATATAGGAGGGAACAATCAAAGACCGGGGGTGGCGGAAAACCTCCATCACCTTCTCTTGAGGACTTGGAAATAATGTCCATTGCCCCTCACGACTTTATCGTTGAAGTTAATAATTATGATAGTGATGCAGTGGTAAATAAAATTACTTACATGTCTTACAAATTTAATTAAAATTAAAGAACTTTATTTTCCATTACTTTAGTACCTAGGTAGTGCTCTGAAATCTACTCTTAAAGCATACAATTTACAATCCAAAATTATTTTCCGAATATTCAAAATTTAATATACTTAGTAACAATTTAACATAAATTTCTTTATAATTAATTATATTCAAAATTGAAATGTCACAAATTCATATATAGTGGTCTATATAATATCATAACACACATTTTACTAGATTATCTACACAGTCCGATTATAATTTTCTATTTTTGTCTATTAGGTATTATAATTAATAATTTATTAAATTACCTTTTGTCTTGGATCATAATAATATTTCTACAACATAGAAAATACCTGATTCAATAAAGGGCAAAATAGAGATGACAGGTGACAGGAAAACATGTTAATAAATGTTTTAATGATTTATTTTAGGATCCAGTGACTGTGGCTACAACATCAAAAGAAGTTGCTGACCCTAAGCCTCGCCTTAATTTTGAAAAAACAGACACAGCTATAGTTAAAAATGTAGAAAATCCAGAACCCAATGTTGTATATGTGCAAGGTAAATAATACTGATTGAATATTTATTAAAAAGCAAAATATATTATTATTATAGTTACAATCATATGCATACAAGTTTGTAAATATTATAAATGTTAATTTTCTAAAACTGTTATATTTATATTAATTTTTAGAGATAGATCCAACTACAGATACAGAAGAAAGTGCCAAAATGGTGAAAATAACCAACAATAAAGATATTTTTACTAGGGGTATAACAAAAATTAAAAACAGGAAAAATAGCTTGCAAAATAGGTATGTTGAAAAAATTACATAGTCTGATACATTACATACTTTTTAAAATGTGAAAATTAGTATTTAAACACTGAAAATTGTTTCATGTTTTCAAATATTAAAAGCAAAGTTTAATATGAATTGATTTAAAAATAATTAAAAAATATTTCTTTAATTGGTGTACAAGGTTAAGTGCACTTTTATTACTCTAGAATACATTGTAAATTTCTAAAATAACTACAAAACTTACATTAAGTATTCCATTTCATTTTACAGAAGAGAAGATGTACACCAAACAATTGTAAAAAGTAACACAGATTTTAAAAAAAGACAACTGGAAATGATGGAAGAGGAACATAAATACAATATTAAAATAGCTAACCTAAAAATTAGAAAATTAGAGTTACAAATATTTTTATTAGAAAGTCAGAAAAACACAAGTTAAATAGCAGCTTAATGCTGCTGTGTTTATTATGGTGAGTTTATAGAATGAGAATAGAATAGAATGATTTTTATTAAATATAGATTATTACAGAATACTTATTGAAAGACATTTTTTATTTACCACTGGTTCGGAAAATACCTCAGTCCTGGGAAGAACTAGTAAGAAACCCAGCGGGACTTTTTTATAAACATATTTCTCTTAACAATAATTTTATTTGTACAATTTTTAAATGAATTTTAATAGAACCACCATGGTGGCGATCACCTCAATTCCAGTATTTCCAATATTCTCATTTATGTATTCTTTGATATTATAATAACCTTTTTATAAAATGTTTCTTTAATAAAACATTTAAACTTGTTTATTGACAAATTTTGGATAAATTTTTGTACAAATTTTGTATGAGAGAGACCTCTTTTACAGGAAACGAGGCATTCCATCTTACTCCACACGGGTGACAACGCATCTGCATTTTGATTTGTAGTCGAGGATAGATGTGGACGTCTATGCACCACAGCAGTTACTTAACATCAGATGGACTGTGTGTGTGTATGTGTGTGTGTGGTACACTGTGTTTATCACCATTATCCTATAAAAAAAACTAAATATTTGAGACTATATCAGATACATGTTTGTAAATATCCTCATATATGAAACAATTATTTTCAGGTACTAAATTGCTGCAAATATTTGTACATCTTTTATTAATAATTAAAATAAATAATTATAATTAATATGCATTTTATTTACATAACAATGAAATATAATATACAATAGTAAAAAACTATAATAAAAAAAACTAAACCTAATTACTTAGTCATCATACAGTCCTACTCCCCGTGGACCCGTGCACCTCTGGAAAGGAAATCCGGCTGTGAATGTAGAGGAGGGACGATATTTATTAAAAAATCTAAACATATCTCTAAAGCACTTAAATCTTTATATAACATAGCTTCATATTGATGTGGAATGTGCTGTACCCCGCATCTTTCCCTGAAACACAATCATTTATAGCCTAAATAAAAGCATTTTGCTCAATAAATGAAATATTATCACAATACTCCCCTGAATTTATTTCATATTGGTGAATATGTAGTCGTTATTCTTTGACAGCTGACAACGGCTCTGCAGAAATATTTTCCTTTATAAATGGGTATTATCTCTGAAATCAAAAAGAAATATTATTATAATTGTCTTATACATTTATTGATCCTTAATGTAATTTTATAGCCAAAATTGGCCTCTGAATAACAAAATAAAATAAATTATATATACATAGCTTTAGACAATTGAAAAAAAATTGACAATTTTATAAATATAATTATTAATTTTAATTATAAATAGCTATATAAATATGTAAAAAAAAATGTTTACCTACTGAAAATGAGTTTCAATAAACTGTCTTCTTCTAATATTTCCCCTTATTGATGGTGCAATATATCTTTGTACTATAGGTTCAGATGAATATTGTTCAATGCTATCTCTCTCACCAGAAAACACATCTTCTCTCATGTCGATGGCCATATTGTGTAGTACAGCACATGCAACAATTGTTTTTTTTGCTGTTTCAATATCTCTAAACATACCTCTTAATAGGCAACGAAACCGTTGCTTCCACAAACCAAAACATCTTTCCACTGTGTTCCTGGTATGGATATGGCTCCTATTATATCTTTCTTCTTGTGGTGTTGTGGGGTTCAGCAGCGGTGTAAATAGGTAAGGGGTACAAGGATAGCCACTGTCACCAAGTAATATTCCAGAGAATGCACCAGCCTCAAACCTCTGTTTTAGTCTACATTCTCGGAATATTCTGGAGTCATGTACACTACCACGCCACCTGGTAACAATGTCCATGATTTTCAGGTCAGCGTCACAAACCACCTGTAAAATAAGAGCTCATTAGTACTTTATGTTTTTCTGGTTTATTTTAATATATATTTATTACCATAAGATAGTCAAACAAATTATTTTCTATTATGATAAAGTAAAATTATTAAGAGACAATCACAGCTATTTAAAATATTTGTATATTACCTGTACATTAATTGAAGAAAATCCTTTTCTATTAATATATAACTGACCCCCATCAGCATTCACTTTCTTTACTCGTATGTGAGTACAGTCAATTGCGCCAATTACTGTAGGAAAATTAGCAATACTGCGAAATTTCCTAATGGTTTCCTGCTGTTCATTTAAAGTAGTAGGCATTTTAATAAATTCTCGGGACTTCCGTGACAAAATTTCCGCTACTTTTTTACATGTCCTACTTACTACTGGTTGAGACACACCATGTAAATCAGCTGTATCGTCTTGAATCTACGAATAAAACAATAATATGTATTATTTGGCTTTTTATCTAGCGTAATGTTAGCTACATTGACCCCACCAAGATTATAAACAGCACTTACTTCATGGCGAGCCCAGTTGCGTAATGCACAAACCACTTGAATTTCAGGACTCAATGGGCATCCTCGAGGGTCGTGCACTAAATCCTCACGTAAGATACCCACTATTTTTTCTCCGAAACGTTTTGAGAACCTATACTTATACCTAAAATCTTCGTCACTCAATTCAAACGGATTCACACGATGTCAATGTCTATCAGGTCGCCGAGTGGTGTCTAGCATGTCCAAATCTTCTAAATCCATCAAGTCAATCATGTTAATATCCATTTTTAACGATTTTAATAACACCAAATGAAAACAACGCTCACCTCAAATTAAGAAGTACCGAAATTGAGGTTAGTATAGAGTACCACAAACTATATAGAAAGGTTAGTACCATAGCTAAACTAGGGGTCTCGAAAGATTAACTTTAATACCATAGATAATCCTTGAACCAGAGATAATCTTCGTTTTGTAATAACGTTTTTCTTAGTTTATGGTTTAAATATATTACTAACTCCAGTACTATATTAAGTCCGTGTTTTGGAATAAGGCGGATTGAGTATGAGTTATAATTTTGATTCTAATGAAAAAAGAACACAAGGCGAACTACAAGCAGTCAACGTCACTTCTAATGAAATCAATGTTACACGCTGAACACAACGATTTAGAGCCAGTCCGGCCAAATGGTAATTGCGTCTGACATCCCTTGGCAAAAAACACAATACCCGTCACCTTGCTAAACGAATATGGCCCATATTGCCCCGTTATAAGAACGGAAGTGTGCGCGTCATTGATTTGGCAAGTTCATCGCACCCTCAAATTGGTGTATGGTATAATTTTAAAGGGATGAATTGTTCTATAAGTTACAACGTACTATATACGAGTATTTTTATTGTATTATTTTAAAGTATTTTTATACTATTGTGACCACTTATGTGATTTTTTTACGTGATAGAGCCATGTCGTAGCTATATTAGTAGTATAGTTGTAATACGAATGAGTCGGCTCGACCGGAGAAGGACCACGCTCTCACAGAATACCAGCGTAAAATAGCATCTGAACACCGCTATGTTTCATATGGCGAGTGTAGAGAATCGGAGACCCTTTTTCACTGGAAATGAAGCCTTCCATCTTAGCACTCACGGGTGACAACGCAACTGCATTTTAATTCGTAATCGAAGATAGATGTGGATGTCTATGGATGTGATCATATGTCATCTATTAAAAATCTAATAAAAAAATCATCTATTAAAAAAACTTATGTGATTACTAGCTGTTCCCCGCGACGTCGCCCGCGTGTAATTTAGGGTTTTAATTTTGTTGCGCGGAACCCATAATATTTTTCTAAAATATAAGTAGCCTAAGTTCCTCCTTATAACATGAGATATCTACCAGTGAAAATTGGTCCAGCCATTTTGGAGAGTAGCTGGACAGATAGACAGACAGACAGACAAAAATGTTAAAAATTGCGTTTTTGTTTACTTGTGTACCGTATATAATTTCATATGCAATTAGTAAAAAGCTGTTATTTTGACATTACAAACAGACACTTGAATTTTATTTATTTGTATAGATAAATGAGATAGGTTTCGTAACGGTCCTTACGTAAGATATATATATATATATATATATATATATATATATATATATATATATATATATATATATATACTATTGGATTATATTATATAATGTACGAGAACATCACGGTTGATAATAAAAAAAAAAGTTAGCCATTGCGTTCGAACTCCATCTTTAAACCTATTTATAGTTGGATATCGACTATGAAGACCGAATATGAAATAAAAGCTATAAAATAAATAGTCTTATTGTGAAAAAAAAATGGTATATAATGTCATGTGCATGCCTTAGATGCAGCAACAATGCAAAAGAATGAAATAATTATAATACCGGGCAATTGTTTAAAAAAGGACGGCTACATAAAATTTTGATATTATTACACCAATAAAACGAAGTAAGAATATCTAATACCCCATATCATCCGATGTAGGTGTCGTAAGAAACGACAGGGGGAAACATACGTGGTAGAGCCATGCCGCAGCTATATTAGTAGTATAGTAGCACGAATAGGTCGGCTCGACCGGGGAAGGACCACGCTCTCACAGAATAAAAGCGTAAAATTGCAATTTAACGCTGCTGTGTTTCGTATGATGAGTGTAGAGTCGGAGGCCCATTTCACTGGAAAAAAGGCATTCCATCTAAGTCCTCACGACACATCTGCATTTTAATTCTTTATTGAGGAGCAGCTTCTTCCTAATAACGACTAAAATAAAAATAAAACTGCGTTTGCCAACCCGCTTGCCACGCAATTATGGCAAATATCCCCCCCTATGAGGCAATCTAAGTGGGAGGCCTATGTTTCATCAGCAATACCGATAACGATATATCACTTAGTAATTAGTTTTACAATATCATGGAAGTTTTAAATTATAATATTTAAGCTCTACTGTTTATATTGGTAGCATTTGTAGTTTTATAAATCCGATAGATTCGATAATATTTTATTGCGGAACCTATTAAATTTATTTTCATGGAACTATCATAAAATCCGTTCTTAGTGAGCGTCTACATTGAAAAGTGAATAACTATATTAAATTTCAAGTCAATCGCGTGTGTAGTTTTAGAGATCTCGTAACGAGGCAGTCAGTTGTGGATTGTGGTATTTCGCTGATATCTTATATTGACTATATATATATATATATATTATCATTACAGCCCTTCAAGTCCACTGCTGAACATAGGCCTCCCCCAAGGAATGCCACAAAGCAAGGTCCTGAGCCACCCGCATCCATCGATATATATATATATATATATATATATATATATATATATATATATATATATATATATATATATATATATATATATATTATTTTATTGAAGCATAAATGTTTTCCTAGGTCAGCCATGACAAATTAATTCAAATAAGTATTGTTTTAGTACAGTAATGAGTGTTGTTACGTTTTTTTTTCTATACCTCTGATTCCTGCTAAATTGTAAAAAGTCGATGACTATTATTGGCCCTATGTAAAGACATATTATATAAGGATAATGTATCACAGATGAAGGCTGTTGTTATCCCTAATAAAATAAAATAAAATAATGAGCGTATGTAAGCCTTTGCCCTGAAACCATTGTCAGTATGCTAAATTTGTATAAAAACATGTTATTTCCATAATAGAAGTCTCTTTGGATTTTTGTGCTTTCCACAATAAACCTTATTCCGATATTGATTTTCAATAACCATTTTATTTAAAATTTCCATAAAACATCCCGTTATCTTATATTAAACAAACTTCATGAATACTATGATCTAGATTTCATAAACTTTGTCTTTTTCTTTTCTTATTTGCAATAATTCTCGTCACCTGCACCACAAACGAGGTCCATTCAGTGACGCGACATTTGGCACGCTCTCGCTAATTGCTCGGTGTGCGGCTGCCTTTATTCCATCTCTTTTTTATTTTTAATTGCTTAATGCGCCGGCTTTTTAATTATTGGGGCGGCGTGGGACGCCTATTTGAATTTTATTGTCATCGAAGTTTGATGTTGAAACAATTCATTATTGTTTTCTAAATGTTTTCACTTTACATAATTAATTTTTTTTTCCTATTATACGTGGTAGGGCCACGCTGCAGCTATATTATGGTTGTAGCACGAATAGGTCAACCGGGGTATGATCACGCTCTCACAGAATGCCAGCGTAAGCAAGCAGCATAAAGCTGCTGTGTTTCGTATGGTGAGGGTAGAGAACCGGATATCCTTTTTACCGGAAATGAGGCATTCTATCTTGGTCCTCAGGGATAATCTGGTGGCTCGTTTATGACCTTTATTCTATAATAAAAAATAGGTTTTCTCTGTCATACAAGGAACCCTTAAAATTCATTTTGTCTGTTTACCTTAACTGTATCAAAGTTTCGATATCTGGATCTAGTAAGATTTAAATTAATTAATAGACAAGATAGTATGGTGAGGGTAGAGAACCGGATATCCTTTTTACCGGAAATGAGGCATTCTATCTTGGTCCTCAGGGATAATCTGGTAGCTCGTTTATGACCTTTATTCTATAATAAAAAATAGGTTTTCTCTGTCATACAAGGAACCCTTAAAATTCATTTTGTCTGTTTACCTTAACTGTATCAAAGTTTCGATATCTGGATCTAGTAAGATTTAAATTAATTAATAGACAAGATATATATATATATATATATATATATATATATATATATATATATATATATTATATAGAATAATGGTCACAAGCGAGCACACAGTCCACCTGATGGTAAGTGGTTGCTGCGGCCCATAGACATCTACATCTATCTTCGTTTGCGAATTAAAATGCAGATGCGTTGTCAGCCGTGACGACTAAGATAGAATACCTCTTTTCCAGTAAAGAGGGTCTCCGGTTCTCTACACTCACCATACGAAATACAGTAGCATTAAGCTGCTATTTTTTTATAGGAGAGGGGGCAAACGAGCATGCGGCTCACCTGATGGTAAGTGACTACCGTCGCCCATGAACAACCGCAACACCAGGAGAATTGCAGATGCGTTGCCGGCCTTTTAAAAAGGAGTAGGCTCTTTTCTTGAAGGTGCCTAAGTCGTATCGGTCCGGAAAAATCACTGATGGTAATCGATTCCACAAGAAAGTCGTGCAAGGAAGAAAACATCTTCTAAATCGCACAGTGTGGACCGCCAATCATCCAGATGGTGTGGATGGTATTGGGAGTTCTACAGCGATGTGCCTTCGTGAAATTTGGCGTCTGGCATTAATCCGAACAATTCCTCAGAGCACTCCCCGTGCTAGATGCGAAAGAAAATGCAAAGGGATGCATCATCTCTTCGCAGTGCCAATGAATCGAGCCGATCGAAAAGGATTCGGTTGGCGATGTTTCGAGCCGCTCTGCGCTGGATGCGGTCAAGTGGAAGGAGCTGGCACTGGGGAGCCCCTGCCCAGAGATGGGAACAGTATTCCATGTGAGGCCGAACCTGCTCCTTCTAAAGTTGCAGGCGGTGTGCCGGCATGAAATACTGTCCCGCTCTGCTGAGCACGCCAAGCTTTATAGAGGCCAATTTGGCCTTCTCTTCCAAGTGACCACGAAACTGCACGTCACTCGATATGTCGACTCCAAGGATTCCGATACTGGCTGAGGCAAGAAGGGGAGTGCCTTGAAACTGAGGAGATACGACAAAGAAGTTCTTTTTAGCGGTAAACGCGCAAACTTGTGTCTTCTGAGGATTAAACTGGACTAAATTTAGTCGCCCTCAATCCGAGACTTTGTTAAGCAAAGACTCGACTTCAGATACAAGTTTGTTCCGGTACTCAGCGACGTTTTCCCGAGAAATAGTGGCACGGCC